GGAATATTGGATTGGATTGATTGGAGAGACCTATGTACATATATATAGAGGAGAGGAGATCTCGTGGTTTATAGAAACAGAACCAACCGAGATCTCCTCATATCTCTCTAACATCTCTCTAACCAAATACAGGGGCCGGCCGGCTATACCAGGCTCGGGCCTACCATATACACACGCACAGCACATATACATTCTAACAATCATCAACATTTGACAATATCAAATGAAATAGATGTGAGAAAATGGCTGTGCATGCTTTCCTTGGTTCACAAATGCCATTGTCAGCTCATATGTTTATATCCAACTTGAAACTATATATTATATTTTCTTATATTATTATATAATTTCATTTATTCTTGAATGAAAGCTTGAGCTTATGAATTTTTTTGAAGAATTAGTGTAATGAACTAATGATTTACCTTACTTCAGCAGATTTTGTGTAAAGATTGTGCGAGCACCATTCACTTTTCATAAGTGTGAAATTAAAACACTTCAAGAATGAGGTCAGTACTCCTAGTTTCTCCATCTCTGAATTTCTGTTACAAACAGTTTATGGAGTCTGATGCATATGAACTACACCCATTCATTTGTAACTCACTCTCTACCTATTCATTCTCAGCTAGTACTCATGTTTGAACTTAGCAATTTGTAAGCAAATGGATCAGAAAAAATGTCTTACAAGGACTATGGTATATTTATCATTGCTATGCTGCAATCTGACACACTAAATCTTTTTTTTTCTCTTTTCATAATCTATTTAAGCAATGCTGCACTTTTGTCTAAGGGCTACCTACATCACTCCTAATAGGCTACTACTATATTGTACCAGTGTGACAGTTTACATTGGACATACAGGGAGATTGAGATATAAATTAAGTGGTAACAGAATTTGCATGTATATGACCAATGGACCATATCGTTTCAAAATGTTTATTCACTTTGGAATATTATTGTGTACTTATTGAGATGTTTCTGTGCTCTACCCCATCCTAAGTATTGCGAAAGTGTATTTAAAAGGGGTATATAAGCTACTCGCTAATATTTTTTGTTATGCTTGGTGCTTCCCTTGCCTTTGTGGATGGCGAGGTTGACTAATATTGTGAAATTGAGGGACTTTTTGTTATAACTTTGTTACAGCCTGGTTGTTATATCCAATTCTAGTAACTTTGCTGTCAGTCTTTATTGATGGAATCAGTGGCATTTCATGAAAACAAATGGTAGTATTCACTTGAATGTGTTAACTCATGTTTTTATTTGAAATTAATTTATTTCCATTCCAATACTAAATAGTGTTCATTTGGTTATTGTGTGACGAATAGTTGAGAGTTAAGAACTGAGATGATGGAGGGAACATTACCTTTCAGCATGTACACAAACATTGCTTTCTTTATTGGCACTACTTGCATTGATTTTGATTGGTTTTGGAACCTTGCATCTCAAAATTGTAAGGGTCAGTAGAGACAATATGTAAAATGGCCTGTCTTAAAAATAAAAAAAAAAACATCAATTTACTCTGTTTCTTGTGATGGCACTTTGAAGGAATGAGTTCAGAAATGTGCGTATCTCTTGTTACATGTGTCACATTTGTGATACAGTCTATATTCTTGTGGCCATTTTCTTGATTTAGCTTCTGATGATGCTTGGACCCTTTTCCTGTAGCTCTCACCGTGTGAAGTGGAATGAGGACAATTTGTATGAAATTGAGTCAAACAAACCAGTGAGGCAGAAGATAACAGAGCCAAAGACACCATATCACCCTATGATAGATGATGATGGTAGACATCTTGCCACCTGCATCATACTATATCCGACCACTTTAAGTACTCCCTAGTGTGCACGTGATTATTTGGCTCACTTCTTTCCTTCTACTTCTAGGGTCGTTGTCGCCAACACGTCCTTTTGACAAATGTCTCGATGAGACTGTCCAGGCTGAAGCTATCTTAACAGCCTTAAATGGTGTGGCTGCTTCAAGCAATAGCAATTCAAAGGATGATGGTTGGGGATCATCAGATGACGATACAGATGCCATAGAACAAGATGATGGTAAACTTGTTGCCCACCTGCTACGATTTTATTATTCTGGTTACAGGACCGTCCTCATATTTTTCTTATTCATTTTTGGTAAGATAGTTAAATGGGTCAAATTAAGATAAGATAATTAATTTTCCTCTGTGAACAAGAAAAGTTTAAGAAATCACTCGTGATTATCATGTATGTCCTAGCTAAAGATGGGCAGTTTGATGTTTGGTTGGCAGAGTAGTTCACACTTTCATTTGTTTCCACAAGTGGAACAATGCAACTCTGTTCTGCTCTAGGTTCCTTCAACTCTGTTCTGCTGTAGCTTCCTTACGTTCATAACTGACCCAATTAATTAGACACATTCTCATTTTCCTAGCATTGGACAAGGCAAACCTCATTGTTCTTGCTGTTCCTTAAGCAAGACAGATTTCATCTTAGAACCCAAGGTACATATATGGCACAAACAAATGTTAAATGCCATGTCATTATCATTATAAAGTGTGATCTACTATTACTTGTTTGCTACTATCACAGTACATAATTAGCATGGCGCTGTTCCCAGATGTTTCCAGCAGTGTCTTTTTGTAATACGATACGATTTGACATACCGGAATATGTTTGGTTCCATGTAGACCCAGAAGCTGACACAACAAGATTGAGTTTCAAGGAGCATCGCCGTGCCCACTACGATGAGTACCGCAAGGTTAAGGAACTGATGAGCACTGGATCCCTTACTGTTGAGGAGGCCGATGAGGATAACAGAGCTGCCACCAACTCCGAATACAAAGGCATGGGGAAAAGAGCAGCGAATGACGACATAAAGTCCTCACCGCAAACATGAGGAGTTCATACGAAGGTTCTGATTCCTCTGTTATTTACAAAGTTAGGACAGCTCGTCGATCGAGGCAGAAGCATGCAGTTTGCCTAAGTATGTTAACAGTGCTTCGTGTGTGCTGGATCAGTGATTTGGCACTGGGTGCTTTATTGTATCATTATATGCAACACAGTTGTTACCCTTGTTTTGTTTTGAGATGCTGGTGTGCCAAAATTTGGCTTTGATGACCGAGAATTGTAGTGGAGTTGGCTGCTTGGTCGAATGGTCGCTGCTCCATTTGGTTGGTGAGTCAACATTTTCAATTGAGACAATATGTTTCAACCAGAGCAAACTGCTTGATGCTGAACTCGGTTATCCCTTTTTTTTTTTGGCATAATCTTGTGTTGAGTCGGTGTTATTGTTGGTGTGATGTTGCGCTAGATCAAAATTTCCGAATTGGACTAGGGCTATGCAATTGCGAAATGTGTTACTTGACGGGCCTACAGAGCGTAAAGGTATGTAATTAGCTTGACGGGCCTTGGATCCGAGGTGAAGTGGGTCAAGAGCCCAAGATAGGCCAGAAGCAGAAGGTGCCAGTGTGCCACGAGCGCTCTACTTCGTTAGCGAATCCAAGGCCTGGTGTCCCAATCCCAAAATACAGAAGCTCTAATTCTCAAAAAATAAAAAAAGAAGCTCTAATTCTCAAAAAATAATACAGAAGCTCATTACCGACATGATCATCACCTCACGCAAGCTGATGTCCAAGAGCTGAAGAGCATCCGATTTTAGAGGTTCTCTCTGTTTTATTGGCCGAGGAAAGGAACCTTCCTTTCTAGCTCGGCAATCTTCGGCCAATCTTCTGTTAGAGGCTGCACGTGTACGTTTCACAGGGTCAGCATGGGCCATCCCAATAAAATTTGCCAGGGAAGTCAATCAAAATGCTGTCCAATTATTAGTGTGTGGCTAATAAAATTTCTAGGCTTCTAACTTGACCTGTTTGGCAGGGCTCCTGCGGCTCCGGCTCCCGCCCCTGTAGGCCTCCCACGGGCCGATAGGTTCCAGGCGGAACCGGAGCCGCGGAGCCCAAAAAACGAGCTCCGCCGGCTCCGCCTGGGTTCGTGAGAGGAGTAAAGAGGAGAGAAAAAAACGGCTCCGGCTCCCTGTCGGGCGGGAGCCGGAGCCCGCAGGAGCTCTGCCAAACAGGTCCTTAACCCCTTTTGGCTCCATTTCTAGATCCGCCACTGCTGTCCATAGAGATGTTCTCGCATCTAATGGGAACAATTTTAGTTTTGGACATGTTAATGGTGAGTCCTGATTCCTGAACAACGTGTGAAGTCTTTTAGGATGCCTCGCGAGGTGTGTAGTTCTAAAGCACAGGGATTAGCGAAACCCCCAGCATCATTCGTGTACAGCAAACGAACATCTCCACAAAGCTTCCCTTTGGGCAAACTTAAACACGCGATGGGGCACGCGTTCGTGCACTTGCGCGACCCATCCGCGCCCTGCTGCAGAGAAAGAAGAAGAAGAGTCGCCTATGGCCGGTGCATGGTTAGGGTTCCAAAGAGGGGGTTCACTCATCGGTGGGTGTAGAAGAGGGTTTGTGGGCAGTGGGAGATGGGTGGGGCGAGGAGGCAGGGGCGCCGTACACCGGGGTTGGTGGGAGATGGCGGCTGGGCGGGGCTGGCGATGAGGACGTTGTGCCGAAGTGGTCGTCGGCAACCGTGTGATTGGGGAGGACAAGGTCGAGGTGGGCGGCGCGGTGGAAGGTGGGTGAGGCGGCGGGAGCCATCAGCTGCGGGTGATGGAAGTGCGATGGAGGAGGTGGCGGAAGGGGTGTGTGAGGCTGCATGCGCGAGCAAAAGTGGGACAAGGGTGGCGCAGGCAAGGAGGAAGAAGGGTTGCGCGGTTTCCAATCGCGCCACCCATAGCGGGATGTCGTCGTCCATATAGCGATATATCACTCAAAGGCAGATCCTTATTATACATAGATAAATCAGGACATGACATGCAGTTCATTATTCAGAGCGTCCTCCTCATGCTCAAACCTGAAAGCTGATCAATCAAAGCGAGGAAATGTACTCCACCAGGCCATCGAGAGCCAAACTAGCTGCTCCTCCTTCAGCAGCACACTGCTTCGCCTGCGTCATCAGAAGCCGGTGGCACAAGATCACAGAGTTCCTTCCACGCACGGAGAAGGGAAGGAGAAAAACGACGTGCCTTTGATGGGGAGGTAGCCGTCGGCGACGAGCCGCGGGGTGGCGAGCATGCTGAGGAACGTGGCGGCGCCGTCGGCGCGGAGCGCGAGCGCGGGGACGGCGACACGCGTGGCGACGCCCAGCATCTTGTACCACTGCCCGTCGACCACCACGTAGGCGACCTCGCCCGGGCCCTGCAGGGCCTGATGGCCACCGCGCGCCAGCTGCTCGGCGAGCGCCGCCTGGAACGGCGCCTCGCAGGCGGCGTTGAGCGCCATCATCTGCTCCACCATGTCGGGGCAGGCGACGACGTCGGCGGGGAGGGACTCGCGGATGGACACGAAGGTGAGCTCCGGGTGGCACGTCGGGTCAGGCGCGTTAAAGGCGGTGTGGAGCACGGTGACGCCCAGACCCCGCGCGAGGAGGAGCTCCCCGAGCTGGAGCATCTGCGTGATGTGTCTCCCGAACGGGAACGGGAACATCACGACGCGGAGGCCGGTGGGAGTGGGAGCACGTCCGTCGCCGGCCATCGGTGCTCGGTGCTCGGTGCTGGTGTGGAGGATTCAGGCTGTGGCTGCTGCCTGAGAAAGATGGGTGTCGGCTGACGACACTGGCAGGCTTTCCTGGCAAGGTTGGCGAGAGAGGAGCTACATTGGCATGGAATTAGAGCCTAACGAGGCATGTGAAGAAGAGGTTGCTTGTGCCTTGTGTGTGTTGTCGTTTCCTTGCAAAGAAAACAGAAAGGCGAGCTTTTGCCGCTGGGGATTCCAGTCGTTCCTTGTTCGGACTTCCAGTCGCACCAAAACTCTCTGCAAACTGCATTGTTTTGCTTACAGTCAAATGTTTGCGTCACAATGTGCTAGAAGTAACACATGTCTTTTTTTTTTGGATGTTATATGGAACCAAACAAAAGGATTCACACGCCCGGACTCATATGCACACTGACATTTAAGGCTCTGGAAGTGCAGTGTTGTTTGACACCTGTTGGTGTATCCCATTGTAGTTTGTTGTGCACAATGGCATTTTTTTCACTGACACTAAGCTTCTTGTTTGGTAATAAACGAGACGGCTTCATAACGAACAGGGCATTCTGCTACTCTCAGCCCAGGGAACGACAAGCTATCCTAGCCCATGAACATGACGATAGGGCCTCCGCCCCCCAGGCCCAGGGGCAAAGCCCACACTACCTTGTAATGTTTCACTTAAGACAACAATCATATAAGATCTCTTATTTGTGAGTGGAGGAAGTAGCTTATCTTTTCAGAGAGGTTGCACATATGTGCTGATAAAAGTAAAATTCGGGAGCTCAAACAAAATGTGGATGTGGAATTTTGTATCAAAAGGCTCACAAGTAGGTTTCTCCATCATGTCCGAACAATACAATGCTAATAATTTGAGATGTAATTTCTCTCTCGAACTTATCATGTATCACTAGTTTGCCTAGTAAATCCATCAAACCCTAGAACCAAAATTGAAGAAATACACCACAAACAAAATTTCATCTCAGTTCACATTTTAGGCTGATTTCCAAGAAGCTGTCCGACTAGATTAGTCACCTGAAGAAGTAATATGGAAAGAGCAGTGAGAAATCAACTGAATTGAGGGGAAAGTTGAATGCTAATTGAATGTCATTGTGGGTAATTCTAGTTTCTGCATTGGTAGAGACTAAAGCAAAGTGAGTGAGAGAGCCTTAGGCACAGTAAATACTAGATCCATGCAAACAAGTGCAGTTCAAACATATGATGCCGTAGCTAGAACATGAAAAATTATATATAACCAAATTTATATGCTTCTTAGACATGAATCCCAAAGGAAACGAGAGCAGTACCTTTTGAGGCTGAAGCAAAGAAACAATAAAAAAATATTTTGCTGTAGAAATCAAACACTAATGAGGTTGTCTTTTTTCCCATAGCACTAGTCTATAAAGATCAATACTCTTTGGTGCTAAAATGTGTCCCAGTAACAAGCACAAAAGTGCAAAGTATATATGTCTCCAAATTCAGCATTTCACATTTGAAGCATGTTCATTGTGGACAATTATCTTCTTTTCACTGATAAAAGATGTAAAACTGCAGAAAACAAGATGTACATTCAATATGGAATGGACCAAGAACACAGAAACAAACTTGCCTGCCAATACTTAGAAACACATCGATCAATGCAGCTGTTCTCGCCCATATTGAGCTCAGCATCTTTGTGCCTAGAGATACAGTGAATACAAACCAAATCAATCACATATAATTCATGAGTTCGTGTATTTACTGACACCATGGCAATGAATCCAAGAAAGCAAACTTTAATACTGGGAGGTGCTATAGTTGTCTTAAATAGTTTAAATGTATCATATCATTATCTTCATATCACACATTTTCTACACACCAGGGCACACCCAAATTTCATTACTTGTACCAATGAAATTACAGAGTTTGCACAAGCAAGTTTTTAGCGATGGTAGCAAACGATACAGATATAACAACTAGACAGTAACAGAGCATAGGGCTCCTTCACTTTTTGCTAGTGCGCAAAACATAAAACTACTGGTCAGCAATGTGAGCCAACAAACTTCAGCCAAACCAACACACCCAGCAAAGGGCAGCTACTACGGACAGCACAACACTGGGGGTGGAAAAACAGGCTAATACATCAAGAAGGTGCCCACTTAATTACTTATGCCACTTTCTTATCTGCAAATCTTCATACCACACATGGGTTTACAGAAGCATATATAACATTGATCTGATGTGCTTCACATATACAAATGCTAATACCAAAGAAGGAAAGATGCAGATGTAACAGCAATTTAGAGAAACGTAGAGGACAATGAAAAAATACATGCTAAATTCAGGTTTCTCGATGCACTTGTTAAAACATGTATGCGTAAGCCTGTAATAGTGAAATAAAGATGGAATATCAGATAAACTGGCAGACATAAATTTATCCATTCTAGAGTTCAAAGTGTAATGCTGCTTCCTGCAATGACTTCGAATATGATTTGATTTAAGAGCAAAAGACAATGTCACATAGAAGACTAATTCCAGTGGTATAAATAGAAAACTGAACTTCAGCTGCTGCATCAAAGCTCAAAGCTCCTGATGTAGTTTAAGGTAGAATCAAAGAAATATCACTCACCTATTGAAAAGGTCAACCCTATACTCCATCTCTTTCTCCGCCAATCCAAACATCTATTGAGACGCATAAAACGAATGATCTCAGAAAATCTTCAATTAATAATAAAAAACCTGAATGCAACCATTTACATGTAGAAGAAACAACCAGAGCAAAAGATAGAATAAAGCATCCCAAGTAAAACAAATCTGAAACTGAATATCAGAAAACTTTGGAGATCAATGGTCATGCTAATTGCTACAAATCCTGCTAGTTCTTAGACATCACCACTTGAAACCATCATCTGAAAAATATTCCTGAGTAGTGCAGAAATAATTTTTTCTCTCTTGAAGAATTGGACTAGTATAAGCTGTGCAGTTATTTGATCAGTGTGCAATGCTACTCGATGGGAAAGCAAATGTGAAAAAGAAAAACATTCTCTACTTAGTATCAGTATAACCTATAAAGTAAATAAGGTTCTAAGCAATATCATAGTTCAATTGACTTTGTTCCCCTTTCAAAATCACCCAAATCTCCACACAGTGCATTTGTATCAGGGTTTCTCATGGAAATCATGTAAAATTCATCTCCTCAAGCATCATTCTCAACTCGTATACTTAATTTCTTAAAAATCATAGTCATGCTCTCCTCTTAGTTTATTACAGGGTGAAAAATCGATCTTAATGTATAAATTTACTTGCTCATCAAACCAACTAATTCGGTATGCTTGTTCGTTCAAGGAAATAAGAAAATCCTCGTTTCCTCAGATCACCGTGTACATCAAAGATATAATTTGAACTCGGGCAAGGTAATCTGCAAACAAGGCGCGCACCTGCTCCTTCTGCATATTGGTCGGCGCAGAACCCGTGGCCATTGCTGCAGCTCACTTCAAGAAAGCAACAGAGAGCAAGCAATCAGGTCAATCTAAGATCCAAGAAAAACGAGAGCCCAGAACTCAGGAAGATGAAATAAGAGGGGGATGCGAAGGCACCACACCGGATTGACAAGCAACAACGCGAGAACAGGGGCACGGTGGCGCTGCTGACTGATGCCGCCGGCGGATCGCGGAACGGCCAGCACGACGACAGTAGCTAGGGTTCTGATCGAAGCGGACGCGATGAGCTTTTGCGCGAAGACGAAATGCGATGTGGGCCTCCAACCCTTCACGGCCCATAAAACTGCCTCGTCTAAAGTATTTTTTTATTTTTATACTTTAGTAAATTCGTTTTCTGGAAAAGAAATTACCCAAATAAAAAAAATTATAGAAATATATAGCATATTGCCAATTGAAAGGGGTGACTAAAACTGCACCAATTCAATTGGTGGAATTTCACTTACAACTGTTTGCATTGGCAGTATTTCCTTATTTGCATAGGGCTTAACAAAATCATAACTTTTCTATATGATCTCATATGAAGATAAATAAATTTTCGATAATAATTCTATGAGGACGTCCATCCGCAACACGCAACCGGACATGGCCACGCGGCCCCCGACACATGACCCTCCCGCTCCCTTTTCCCATCCCATGACCGCGCCCGCTCCCTTATCCTATCCCGTGAGCCCCCACTCCCTTATCAGCTCATGCCGTGACCGCCGAGGCCGCGAGATCCCGCTGTCGCCCTATGCGCCAAGGTCGAGCTGCCCGAGAGGAATGTGACGGTCTCTGCCCCGCGTGCCCCCGCCTACCCCACCGACCGCTGCTCCACGCCCCCGCCTAGGCCTGTCACCGAGCCGGGCTACGCGCGTGGCAACCACGCCGGCCGTTGCCCTGCGCCTTCGCTTAGGCCTGGCGCTTGTCACCGAGCCAGGTTGCGCGCGTGGCCATGTGGCCGCTCATCCGCCAACCCCTTTTTTCCTCGACGGCCCCTTCTTCCTCGTCGGTTGATTTTTTTTATGAAGGCATCGCTTTTCATGTTGCAGCTGAATGAATTTGATGTTGCAGTAGCCTTGTTCTGTTGTTGCAAAAAGTAATATTTCTTTGTTGCAATAGTCTCTTTTTCTGATGTTGCATCTCGCATTGTAGTAGCCTTGTTCTGATATTGCAACAATTAATATTTCTTTGTTGCATTAGTCTTTTTTCTGATGTTACATCTCGCATTATAGTAGCTTTGTTATGATGTTGTAGTAGTCTTTGTTCTGATGTTGTAGTAGCCTTGTTCTGATGTGTATTCTTTTTTCCTGATGTTGTAGTAGACTTGTTCTGATGTTGCAACAAGTATACTTCTGATGTTGCATCTCGTATTGCTCTGTGTTGCAATAGATCTTCTGATGGATAATTTCTGGCTGGACATTCGGGTGATGGAGCACGGTGGGGATGGACACGGAGGGCAACAAGGTGCGCAAAGGGGTGGCGGCACGGTGGCATGCGCGGGGGATGGCGACGTGACGAGGCACGGCGGCGCGGTGGGGGATGGGCCGCATG